ACTCTCCAGTGGGCAGGGGCAGGTGCCATCTGCACTTCTAAGCACCAAACTCTCCTGGGTGGATGTGGTCCTGGCCACGCAGGATGAGATGCTTCTCCTCCTTTCCAGTTCCTCCCAGTATTGAGCTTGGCCCTGTCCTCGTCACTGCCACTGAAGGAGCGGTTGTCACTCTGCGGTGCAATGCCACTGGTGTGCCCCCCCCCACTGTCACCTGGGCAAAGGTAGGTGACAGGGACAGGCAGGCTGCTGTCCCCCTGCCAGCAAGGCTGTGGGTCACCCTCAGGGGGAGGTAACGTGTTTGGAGGGGACGTAGCTCACTGGTGTGGCTGTGACTGCCCAGGGAGGTGGCACCAAGTGGCCTGGGAAGCTGAGATTGGGAGGTAGCTTGCTTGGATGGGTCCAGAGCTCTTTTCTTGTCCTTGGGATGCTCAGCTCAAGAGAAAGTCTCTGCTGTCTTCCCTCCTTCCTTCCCTTTCCTCTGCAGGGCACAGAGCCCATTTCACAGAGCCCACGCTACCACCTTCACGCTGATGGGACCCTCCTGATCCCTTCATCCTCCCCTGGGGATGCTGGGACCTACTTCTGCACAGCTACCAACACAGCAGGCTCCTCCAGCCGGGAGGTGCAGCTCTCCATCAGCAGTGAGTGTCCGGGACTGGCCCTGGCACCAGCTCCCAGTAAAGCAACTCCAGAGGGTGACTGCTTGGGAGAACATGACCTGGGGACTCTCTTAGCTTCCCTGGGGCACCTGGCCAAGTGCTAGTTGGGTTGATGGGATGGGAAGAGCAGCAATGAGGTTCTGTGTGGCACCTGAAGTGTTCCTGCACCAGCTGTGTTCCTTCTCCACCCAGCAAAGCCCAGGATCAGTGTGAACGGATCAGAGGTGTCGGGCCCCATAACAGTCCTGGCTGTGCTTGGGCAGGAGATCACCCTGCCCTGCAAGGTTCAAGGTTATCCTCGTCCCTTGGTGGTGTGGACCCAGGAGTCCCAACCGCTGCCTCTCGCTGCGGCGAGGTAAGGAGGGTTGTGGGTGCTGGGGATGTGATCTCTGGGGATTGAGTGTCTGCTTAGAGGGATTTTGGGTCCATGAAGGGACTCAGCTGCTTGGTAGTGAGATGTGAAGTGCAGCCCTGGCATCAAGTGGCCAATGCTCAATGCTCTGGCAGGAGCTGAGGCAGCCAAGTGGTATGGCATTCAAGGACAGCAGAGCAAGAACCACCAGGCTTTTTTCCCCATCATACAAACATCTGCTGGGACAGAGCAGCTGCTCCAAACCCTTCATGCACCTGCTCTGGACACAGGGCTGAGGTTGGAAGCAGAAGGTGACTCCAGCACAGCCCCTTGGCCCTGCTCACCTGTCTGCCTCCATGCACATTCCTGCCCTGTGCTGGAGGTGTTGAGGCCAAGGATGTGCCTGGGGATGGTGGATCCCTGTGGGAAGTGTAGGACCAGGGCTTGATGCTGCTCTGCACCCAGGTGGCTGCAGGGCACCAAGGAGAGGCATTTTGAGGTCTGGAGAAGGATGGACAAATGAAGAGGCTGGAGGTGCTGCAGCCTCCACTGTCCCTTGCAGCCTGCACGTCAGGGTGATTTCATGGGCTTTTGGTGTTGAAATACTCCTGGGCCAAGTTTTGGCAGAAACACAGTTGTGAGCCCAGCAGTGGCTTTGTCTGTACTGGGACATGGGTTTAAAGGCTAGTTCTGTTCCAGCGAGTGGCTTCTGGAGGGCCAAATTCACTTGTTGATGGTGTTGAGGCTGATGGCAGCCATGGGACAGTCATCTAATGTGATTTGATGGGAAAAAAATAACCCGGAGAGTGGTTGGATGTTTATCAGGTGTCTTGGTCTTCCCCCTTGGGGCCCCTATGGTCTCTCAGTATGTTAGCACCATGCTGGAAAGGGCTCCCTAGAATCTCAGGCCCTGATTTTGGGATAATCACTAATTTCCCTGCACCTGAGGATTGCTGTGGCCTGGGGAAGCAGGAAGGCATCTTGGTTTTACTCTTCTTGAGGGACTGTGTTCCCTTGTCGTTCTTGTCTGGTTTCTCTTGGTTGGTCCTGGTTGCCCTGTGCTTCTCCCCACATCTCAGCTAGCTTGTCCTCACGTGCCCGGATGATTTATGAGAGCACGTGAGGAGGAAGCTGCAGCCGTGGGCTGAGATGATGTTATGTCTGTGGAGCACAGACAGCGCTGAGAGCAAGAGCACGGCCAGCTCCAGCTGCAGAGGCTGTGCTCCGCGGGGAGCCCTGTCCCCCTTCATCCCCCCAGGCAGGTGGCTCATGCTGCTGCCTGGTGCTGAGCTCATGTAGAAGCTGAGCAAAAGGGACTGGCACCTGTGGACAGCTCTGCCACCCTTGCTGTGCAGGAGATGGCACTGGGGACCTTCTCTTGGCTGTCTCTTCGTGAGCTCTCAGCCCTTAGCTCCTGCCCAGGGGTAGGTGATGGGTGACATGGCTGTTCCTTCCATCCAGCTTTTCTGTTCCCTCTCTCCCAAGACACAGTGTCCTCCCTTCGGGGTCCCTCCGGCTGGCCAAGCCCCAGCTGACGGACACCGGCCTCTATACCTGCACGGCCCCGAATGCCGCAGGGAACATCTCACTCAGCTACAACCTGCATGTCCAAGGTTCATGTCCGCTGGCTAAAATCCTCCTGCTGTGGGTCTTAACATCCCACTGGGGTCCTGCACCCAGATCCTTGTGGCAGGTCTGAGGGTGGTCCCAGCCTGAGGTCCCTTTTCCCCCCAGCTCCCCCCCAGCTGCTGATCGGGGATGGGGAAAGCCTCCTGACAGCTGTTGCCAACAACTCCCTGAGGATCCGCTGTCGTGCCATGGGTGTCCCTGCACCCCGGATCCAGTGAGTACTGCAGAGTGCTGGGTCCTGCCCGCATCCCCTTCAGCTTCCTGGGGGTCCTCTGCAGCCCAGCATGCAAAGCTGTGGCTGAGATTGGGATGGGAGCTCCGGATGGGTGATGGGGACCTTCGGTGTGAGGTGTCCCTCAGGATGGGAGGCATCTATTCCTGCTCCTTGCCCCTGGAATTCTGCTCTGCTCAATCATCTGGGCACTGCCAGGCCTTCTCCAGGTGACAAGGACAGTCCTTGATGCTAGCACCCCACTATTGGGTGGCAGGACAGACCAAGGGCTTGTCACTTACACCCTTCCTTGCAGGTGGCTGAAGGATGGGCATCCCCTGGGTGAGCAGGATGGTGTGGTGGTGTCTGAGGATGCTGGGACTCTGCTGATCACCCGTGTGGGGCTTGGTCATGAAGGGCTCTACGTCTGCCAGGGCAGCAACTGGGCAGGGGTGGCCCAGGCAGAGGTGCAGGTTTCTGTGCAAGGTGAGTGTGTCTGGGCTGAGACCCACTATCCATCCCGTGTGTCAGGGAGAACATGGCTGGCCAAAGGGGTGGGTGTTCTTGGCCCTGCTTTCTGGGAGGTATTGGGTAACTAGTCTGATCTGTTGGGATCTTGCCCTTTGCTAATGAAGCTGAGAGCTGATGGCCACTGACACTGTGGTGATAAACCATAGCATCCATCCTTGATGGGTGCTTCTCAGTGGAGAGCCCTGGCCCCTGGCTGTGGCTCTCCCAGGACATGAAGTGTGCTGAGAGCCCCTGGTGAGCCTGGCCATGCCCCATGGCACTGAGCACCAGCTCAGGCCATGCAGAGCCAATGACTGTGTGTGCTGGGTTGCAGTGCCTCCCAACATTGAACCCAGCGTGGTGGACCTGACTGTCCTGGAGAACGGCACAGTGTCCCTGGAGTGTCTAGCCTCAGGGCTGCCTGCTCCTGGTGAGTCTGTCCTCTCCCTTGGCTCTATGGTGTCTCTGGGTCCCCTTAGTGAGAGGGGCAGCAGCATCACTCCTTACAGCCCCGTCCCTGCTTCCTTCCAGACATCGCCTGGTACAAGGGGCATGAGCAGCTCTTGGCCAGACCAGGACGGGCCCTGTCCAGGGATGGGAAGTGCCTGGAGATCCAGCGTGCCCAGCTCTCCGACGCTGGCAGATACCGCTGCGTGGCCTCCAACGTGGCTGGTGTCACCGAGCTCTGGTACAGCCTTCAGGTGACTGGTGAGTCTGCGGAGAGAGGGGACTGCAGCTGCCCAGGAGCTGGGTGCTTCTACCTTGGCTCTTCTCGTGTGTGCATGGGACCAACAGGTCTGTCCCAGCCCTTGGGACATGTCCCTGGAAGATGGAGGGACGCAATGCCCCTGTCCTCTGCCCTGTTTGTGATTCTAGCTATTCAATCCCCTGTGTTCATCCCAAGTGATGTCCTAGAAAACCGTGCCCACACGGACAGGTGTTGCCTGATCTACACCATGGTGTCTCCTACCCACCCATTCCTTTTGCACCCTGCTGCTCCTGGTGACGTTTCTCTGCCCCCCCAGTTCCCCCACA